AACCCACCCAACCATAACAACGACTCCCTACTTTGTACTAGTTATACTAACCTACTACTACTAGGTTACGTACACAATAAAATTAATATATATATATATATATATATATATATTTTTTTTTTTTTTGATGGAAAATTACCAAAATACCCCTGAAATTTTGGGGGCATTTTGGCCATTTATTTTCATGAGAAATATTTTTTTTGTTTTGCTAGGTGAGCCCCAATAAGATGGAACACCCCAAATTTTACTCAAAAAGGTTTTTGTAGAAAAAAAAAAAACTAAAATCAAACAATGTTTTGTTGTGACAGTGACAAGGGCATTCCTAGCCGTCCATTTAGATTGAATAAGTGGGACGTGGGGTGACGTATAATTCAGAATTCCGCTTATTAGCCGTCCCTTTGTAGACAGAGCCTGAATTCTGAGGTGACGTATAATTCAGAAGGTTTCCCTTCAGAATTCAGGCTCTGTCTACAAAGGGGTACAGAAACCAAAATTTTGAATTGCAGATCGAATTGGCAGCATTACTTGTGCTCCTTCATTCACAAAAAAATAAAAGGGCAATGGAACTTCACCCAAAATTTGGGTTTAATTTCAGATCCAATTTAAACTTCCGAATATCATGAGTCATTCATGAAATGCAATAAGAAATGCCAATATTATAAACAGTAGAATATACTAACAGAGCCTTGAAGTTACAGCATTATCTTGATGGGCTTGCACCACTGAAACTGCATAATTTGACAACTCAGGACCCAATAACTGAAAAATAGAGACCTATCCATAGTTACAGTTATTCAGAGAACCACCAAATGTGACATTTCTTTGCTGCTTCGCAAGAACTTGTATCAGCTAAAGGGCTTGAATAAATAACCCTTCAGGAATTAGAAATTGAAAATCACCTTTGAAGTCTTTCCTATGGTGAGTTTGTCTAGTGTAAATGGACAAGTTTAGAGGGAGGAAAATAGACAAGTGTAATCAGTACACTGAAGATCAAATTAATCTTCAACTTTCAACCCAAAGAAGTCATTATGAAATCTTTAACATGGCCTGCTTCTTGATTCATTCAAATGAGGTAAAGACTGAAGAGTCGCTTTAGAGTCAGTGATATTTAGTGTCATGAGAAGAGGGTTTGAAGAAGTTCTGGCGAAGGAAGATTGGCCACGCACTGAAACTATAAACAAAGAGCAGCAATATCAACATATGCATAACAAGGCTATGCATGAGAGAGAGAACAGGACAACCTTAGGCATATCCTGATAGAAAAACATGGGTGTGATTTAAAGTGCGTCTCTTTCTCATGAAATAACAATGCTGTCATTCAAAGAGCTCTCTCTCTCTCTCTCTCTGTATTCGGTCTTATGGACTCATATCCCATCTCTCAGTATTCTGTCTTATGGACTCATATCCCACCTTTCCAAACTACAGCACAAAATTAAATGAAAGGAGGAAATAGACAAATTACCTTGCTCTGACGATACTTCTCTCTGATAGCATTTAGAGTGCAGCCTTTACGATTAATTTGCAGATCATGTAATGCGAAAACCATGGTTTTCAAATTCAATGCCTTATATCCAGTATAATGCTCCAAAGTTCGATTCTGCAAATCATATAAAAAACTCAAACCACAGATAATAAATCTAATTAAGGATGCGTATTACACTGATCATAAAGATTGATTGTGTTAAAATATTCCAACTTCTTTACAAACTATATCTTTGGAATTATAAATCCATTGAGGGGTACCATGTTTATAAGATAACCCAGAAAAAAAGAACATAGTGTGTTCAAAATCTATGGGTTAAATGAGAAGGAGCAGAACGCAAACCCAGGGATGCCTTGATGGATCAAGCATCCATCTGGCAAGGAACACAGCTGCTGCAGCAATGAGAGAAGGAAGGAACGTCAGAAAGCTATATTCAATTAGTGTCAGCTCTGCCAAGTAGTTTGCCAGGAACTCCAGTGAGAGAGAGGAAACCTCCTGAAATCAACGAATCCAACACATTAGTTAGATGAATAGCAGAAAGATGAAGATGACCTTCCCAAAACCTCTGTAATATGAAATGGTTTTATATTTAGGGTAAAATTCCAGAAAAGCATTTATTAATATTTTTTTTTTCTGCCACGTATCCCATGCACTTGCAAGTTTTCTCCTAGAAGTGAAAGACTGGATTCTAGAGTACCTTTAGTGTTCCTCAATTTGTAGACATCCTAGTTTGATCTTTCTAAAATCAATTCGTCATCATCATCATCCAAGCCTTATTTCAACTATTTGGAATCTTTCCAAATACCAAATTGATCTTTCTAAAATCAATTGACTTACCTAATATACGAAATGAACCAAAACACATTATTTTTCAAATTAAACAGACTATTATAAATCTCGTTACTGAATAACTCTGATAATTTTTCGTTGGAGTACATTCTTGACAATTTGTCTTGGAGCTTATTAGTCTTTGTTCCATGGATCTCTTTGTTCCGTAATATCCTTCCTATTTTTAATAATCAATTTCATTGAATTATGTAGTTTAAACCATAGTTAGCAAGTTAGCGAATAATAATATATCGGACAACCAAAACATACGTAATGAATCAGTTTTGTTTCAAAAAGTCAGAGGAAAAAATCGGTCAAAAATACAGATCGCCAAAATATAAGGTAAGTTATAAAATTGTGAATATTTCGGATTTGTCTCAAAAAAATGGAGTGAAAAATCAGATACGTAAAGATGACTAATAGAGGATTATGATTTGCAATTATTGTACATATACATTAAAGCCATTGAACAATAATTTTATGGCCTTGCCTAGTATCGTTAGAGTAATACTTGACAATTTATTGTCTACACTTTCAATAAATCCAACAACAGGGCTTACTCAGTTGTCACAACATGATGGAGCATAAAATGAAACAGCAACAGTAATACTTACTACAAGAATTACATTAGTAAATAACAAGAATTGTAAACCAAGGTAAAGGATTATTGTTCAAAGAAAAAAAAGACAAAAAAAAAATCCCTCAATATAAGAATGCAGTTAACTAAAACAAAACACAAAAACTCAAATTTGTAAAATAGAGGTCCATCCAAAAAGCTATGTTGTATACCCCAATGAAATTAAAAAAAATAAAAAATAAAAATATACAATTAATCAAACTTCTCTCTGCATAAAGAAAGCAACAAAATGCTTAAGCAAATTCAAATCTCACACTGAATTCCTAGCTGCTTAAATATTTAGTATCATTGAATCTCTCTTGCTCTTTATAGGGACGCTCAAAGTTTAAAAAAAAAGAAAAAAAGTTTCATAGGGTTACTCTTCCAAGTCATCCTATTATTTTCAGATATACGATTGTTCTGATATCTTATTTTTTGGGGAATATATTGCTTGTATTTTTTTATATACTTTTTTAGGGGAATTTATTAGTAAATTTTTTTATGGAATTTTACTTTAAGTCGAGATTCTTAATTTAATCCCACTATTAATGGGCTTATCTTTAAATTAAAATTCAATAATACTAAGTTAATAAAGAAATAAAGTTATAGGGAACAATTTTTTTGCAAAGTTCTTTTGAAAAAAGATAAATACGGGTTTTACATCTGTTCCATTAAAAAAACATGATTTTTTGAAGATCTTTTGAAAAACTAGGAATTCTTAACAAATTTTAAAGAATCGGAAATTAAAAAAAAAAAATCATATTTTAAATAGAGACTTGCTAACTATGGTTCAAATGTCCCAGTTATAACCGCAATGGTCACTAGCCCTTAGGCCCTTCACAGACAATCACACACAAACATAAACTACGCAAATTTATCTCGGTAAAAACATACAATAGGCAACTTTGTACCTTAAAGGTACCCTGTGAAGCTCGAAGAAATCTCCTGCCATCAATTGAAGACATGGTGGATAAGAGAACTTATACTTCCAAAGGTCAAAACAAATGAGAAACCCCATTAATGCAAGAACAGCATCTGAAATTCACTCACCTGAGAAAAGTTTTTGTGGTGGGAACAGTCAGTTGAAATTTTAAATAGTTAAGGATTCTGGTCTCCATATTCAACACCTGTTACAATGTCCTCATAATGAGCTCTTCTAATGAACATCGATTCATAGTCAGGTGGCAGATCAATCAACTTTCGTATACTTTTTGGCTAACATTAAGTGGAACTTTTTATTTATCAGAAAAGGAATAGTATGAGCAAGCATTTCTTCCATCCCACTGCACCCATTTTTATTTCCAGGCTACACTAAAACTAGGGTCAGCTTATAGACATTCTCAATTTGTTAACATTCGATATCACATGTTAAAACACATAGCTGCTTCTGTACCTCTTCTTTAGAGTAAGTATTGTCAGTGGTGTAGCAGAAGTCTGCAACACTAGGGGCACAAATCTCTTCATATTTACTGCAAAATACCAAAAGTAAAAAATCATTTATATTCATAGACCAATTTTTCTTTTCTAATATGTCGTCTTTATAATGCAAAAAATCAAAATTTAAATATTGATAGATCTTAATAAACATGATAGGATGGGTCTTCAATGGAATCAAGGACATACGACGCAAGAAGCATGCAGGTTACGCCAAGAAGCTGTAATTTCTGTCTCTCCACTAGATTCCCAGAAAGAAATCGATCAATAAGGTACACAGTGAGGTACAGAGTATCTGGGACAAGCTTATACTCCTCGGCAACCTGCAAAAATTCATGTTTCTAAGTGACCAAGTCACCCGAATAGCAATTTTATCCATAAAAAAGACACCAACATAGCAAAGAAAGGAGACATGAATCTATAAAAGGCCAACATCATCTCCTCAAATAAAAGTCTTTAAATGACTGATTTACCAAAACAGAAAGAGCGATGAATATACAAAGAATCCCTCAGACCTCAACAAGCCAATCAATAAGTATTCCACGCATGTTTTGAGTGATATCTCTCTGCACAGTCTCCATGAAATTTGATGTTGGTCTTCGGTTCCGCTGAAAAGTTTGCATAAATTTCAAATTCAAGTTCGCCCACCCCTAGACTACCAGAAATAGAGGAAGAGAAGTGATTTTTGTTTGGGGGGGGGGGCGACGAGAGGGAGAGATGGTAGTTTTCTTGGGTGAACAATTCACCATACCTCAGCAACACGTAGATAATTATATATATCAGGAGCATACATGCAACACATAGAAGGATCATTACAGTCGCAATCAATCTCTGTGATGCCTCGACTATGCAAACTTCCTGAATCCTCATAAAGATTACCCTTGGCAGTGTTACCTGGTAATCCAAAACTCAAGTTAAAACATTAATCAGGTAAACTAAAAAATACAGTTAAATTTGCTAAAAAAAACAAAAGAAACCAACTAACAATGTTTTGAAGAGATCTCTCTCTCCTCCAGATTCTCAACTAAAGAATCTCCAGAACCACCATTAGCTGGTATGCTCTCGCCGATTTCCATACACCCTGCCAATTGCTTGGTCAGTGTAATATGTGAAGCACAAGTGCTCTCATGCTTCTCAGGCAGCTTGGATTTATAATCCTTTATGGCCATATGAGATCTCAAATCATCCTGCACTTCTTTCAGTTCTTCAGCACGATTATCAGAGACATGGGAACTAACAGGAACAACTTGCAGCTGGCTTTTGGAAGCGTTTGATATCTTCCTTCCCTTGCTTGGTGGTAAGCTTTTTGCAGCATTTGATATCTTCCTTCCCTTGGTGGGTGGTACTCTAGTCTTTTCCTTACGATTCACAATCTGAAATCCAAACAATTTTGAAAAAACACAGCTCAGGTCATTTTTGAAAATTCAACTAATTTGATTGGATTTTGGCCAAAACCTTAGTCTCTGGCCTTGGCCCAGGTTAAAAGAGCAAGGACGAGAATAACCTATAATTTCTACCAAATGGTGAAATTTAGACCAATATCTGGGAGGATCAACAGATTCAAATAATTTCAGCAGGTTCAAACATACAGAGTATTATTTATCTGGAAAGCGTGGTGCCAATTTTCAAAGAAAAAATGAGTTTGATTAAACTCTTTAAAACTCAGCAGTAAATCTGGATCTCAAGCATATATATATTCTAAAAAATTTCTTGAAAGAATTTGACTGCAAGTTATCTGAAATGCAAATTTTGGGATGCCTTCCTAGCACAAAATATTTCAAATTCAAGGACATGCAAGAATGAGAATGCACTCCAACCTGAGGTTTGGCTGCAGTCATGCACTTCATATATCTACTCTCACAACAAATATTGGACACATCCCTGAGAACAGCCCGTCTCTTATACTGCAAGCTTGGATTGGAAGGACCCACATGATTCTCATCCAAAGCTGATCTTTTTGATGTTCCCCTCAGATCCCATTTCTTGTCATGTCGCAAATTGGGTTTGGAAGGAAAAACATTGCTGTTCTCATCCAAGGTTGCTTTCTTTGAAGTTCCTCTGAGGCCCTTTCTATTTTCTTTTTGTACATTTGGGGACTCTGAGAGTAATGGCCCGCTATTCAAACCTGATGCTGAGGCACGAGCACGAGTTATTCTTCCCATAGGCTCCCGATTTCCAGCCATTACTGAATTCTCCTTCATGACCACAATCATATGGCCTTAGAGAGGAACAAAAGTAAGGCTCCTGCACAAAGTTCAGTTCATCAGACTGATGCAAACCAACCATTAGCAGATTGCCATAAACTTTTTACTAAGAGCTCTGACTTCGACTTATTACAAATATGATGTGGAACAGGGAACTCATTAGCATTGGAGATGCAAGGGATTCAAGAATATCTTAGGCTTCTATGCTTCCTTTTCTATATGACCAACATGTATGTATGAGTTGCTATAAAGCTTCATAAACAATGATCCAGATGAGCATTTTCTGTATATTAATCTAAAAACTCTCCTTCAAATGATAAACCCTAACTGTTGGAGGATCTGGAAAGGGATGGTACAAACAATAGCCATTTCTTTTTTTTAACCATTCCCAAAATAACTAACTGACTATAGATGGGCCTAGTTAGTAGAGACTTATCCCATTGAGTTCCCAAACAAAAAGGCGTAAATAATTAAGTTCATGCTATGACCATTATAAGTTGTCAATGCAATGCATCACAGCACATATATTGCAAATTTTGTGCTTAGTAATCATATGTAGAAAGTACACATCACAAGTTTTGTGCTTTCTAGTCATGACATTTAGAAAAGAATCCCTATGCACATGATCACCAAATATTTCTTCTTTCGCAAAGCATTATAACAAAATAAATAGTGGAATAATTGAATGTGCAGGTCATTTTCATGATTTAAGTAAACCTAACAAATTCATGTGCTGGGTAACTTTTATAATAACAATGTTATTCCTTATGAAAATAAAGCAATTGAAAAGCTTTCAGAATAACATGACAAGGTTCTTAATAAGGAGAAGAGTATCCTCTCCACAAGCATGTTGAATTCCATTGAATGATTTCAACTAATATACACTTGTGAGCTTTATTCCCTGGAGAGCCAAATAGACATGGTCAGGAGAGGACTATAATTCAGTCCTTTCTAGGTTAGGCTACGTTCTAGCCTGTCCAGAATGAAAACATCTATTTGTAAACATCTTGCATGTCTCTTGCTAGGACCATAACCTTAGACGCCAACCATAATCATTAAAGGTAATGCAGCCAGATCACCAACGACCTCCAATTCCCAAAGAGGCTCAGTTATGGTATTTGAAATTTTAGAGACAATGAAACAATCATGCAGTTGCAAGAAATGACTACTAGTCATGAAACTATTGCTTTCCCATGCTTTCTGAAAAGACAAAAGATCTAAAGTTTTACTACCAATTGGTTTTGTCCACACTCCAAGTCAAATGGTAAACATGGAAAATTTGTTAAGCTCTTTGGTGGTTTTTGCCTAGGCTTCCCAAGTTGTGAGATGAGATCTTGAACCAAGATCCCATGTGCCAGTGGTGGAGGAGACCCGTTGTTGGGTGTACGAAGTCTTTGGGAGTAACCTGAAGCAAGGTATAAGGTATTCTCTTGGTTTATACTCTCTTTATTCCATTGCATCTTTTATTTTCAGATCTGTATTTTTGTTTTAATGGCAAGCAAGTGAGAGTTCTTGACAATCGTATTCGACTTATATTGTATTTGTAAACTTTGTAAGTGACTTGGGTGGTAATACAATAAGAAAAATGTAGAAAATTTTAATTGGTATTGATTTGCCTGTTCACATAGTCCACCTTTTAGTTAAGAGCTAGACCAGCTAATACTCCGATAAAAGTTAATCATAAATTTAAGGGAGATAGGGGAGAGTTACATGAAAATCCAACCAGTATCAACAAATAGTGGGCAAGCTTATATTCTTCACAGTTAAACAACTAGAAATTTTTGTAGTTAATATGTCATATTCTTCACATAAACATCTTGATAGAGTGTATCGGATAATGAGATATCTCAAGTCTACTCTAGGTAAAGGGATATTTTTCTCCAATTAAGGGCATTATGATGCCACCATTTACACTGATATTGAATGCGCTAGATGCCAAACTTCTAGAAGATCCACAACCGGTTATTGCACCTTTATTTCAGGAAATCGAGATTCTTAGAAAAGCAAGAAAAAAAATGTGGTAACAAGATCAACTGTAGAAGCTGAATACAGGGCTATGGCTCTGTTGGATTTGTGCTATCCATAATCACCCACATATGGAAATCCCATATTTTGTGGGATTGATTGAGATTGATCCATATTATGTGGGATTGCTATTAACCAATTAGATAATCTTTAGGAATTGGTTATTGGGATAAGTTCTATTTGGATTTGGAGTTCGTTATCACGTGAGCCTTTTTTGGTGAGTCTCTTTTTTTTATATAATGGGATGAAAGTGTGGAGAATTGGTGTGCCGTATTTGGGTCACCATATGGGAATGGCAGTTCCTCTAGAGAGAGGGGGAGATAGAGCCTCCTGTGCATAAGATGTAATTTCCTCTTAGAGAGAAGAGAGTTTCTTATGAAGAGAAACATTAATGATGCCTCTTGAAGACTCCTGTAGAATGAAAAGTTGGTTTCTTCTAGAGAAGCAGTTCCCATAGAGATTTTGGTTTGTTTCCCCTGTTAATGAGATAAAGTCTCGTTTTCTCTCAAAGTTGTTCTCTTCCTAGACAGTGGTCTAGTTATGGAATAGAGATAAGAGATCGACATGGTGCCGTTTGGGAGAGCAAGCTTAAAGGGTTTGCTCGACTGTGTTTTTATCGAGGTTTGTTCCAAAATCTTTGATGTAACTTTCATTGGTATAGTAGATTTCCGTTTGTCGTGCCCGTGGATGTAGCCTTCTTAGGTGAACCACATAAATCTTTGTGTTTTTGTGGTGTGTATTTCATGTTTTATTTCTCATACTTTATTTGCCAAAAATAAACCCGTCGGGTTTACAACTTCCGTGCACAAGAAGTGGTATCAAAGCACAACAAGCTCATGCTACATATGAAGCGATACGGGCAAAAATGTCTGTCTGATTTGAGGGTTAAGGTTAACTTTCACATGACTTTCTACTGTGACAATGAAGCTACCGTTCATATCTCTGAGAATCCTATATTTCCTAAAAGGACAAACCACATTAGCGTAGATTCTGACTTCATCAGAGAGAAGGATGTTGTCAAGATCATTCAAGGTTGTTGTAAAGTGTAAAGATCAACTTACATATATCTTCACTAAAGTTGTTGGACGGGAGAAGATTACAAGATATCACAAGCAAGTTGGGCATGATTGATATCTATGCATTAGTTTGAGGGGGAGTAATGGAAATAATTGATTATTTTTATGTTTGGGGTATGAATGTCTTTTTATTGTTTTTTAGGACTTACATGTCATATTTCACTTCTTATGGGGGATATTGTATTTAATATTTTTTATTAAGACAAAAAGGGGTGTGTGATGGTCACTTGACCTATCGCACCACTCTCTCTCTCTCCTCTTCTCTCCTCTCTTCCTCACGCTTTCTCATGTCACTTTATCTCTTTTTGTCTCTCTTCCTCCTCTCTCTCTTACTACTCTAGTAACTTCCTTTTATTTTTCTCTATTTTATCTTCTTTGATTGATTTCCCCTTTTTACTTTTGACTCCTCATCCTGTAACTCGTCCATAACCAAGTAAAAAGATATGGGCCTACTGTTACTAAATACTCACTTGTCTCTCTACTAGTTGTTATCACATTAGTTAGTACTCCCTCATACCTATCCCTAACCATGTCATTATATACCCTTGAGACTCCGTTCCTTTTTAGTGCCCACCAGCCCACCAAATTATCGCTCTAGGTACCTTATCATATGCTTTCTTTAAGTCAATAAAGACTATATCGAGGTCCCATTTCTTCTCCCTAAACCTATCAATCAAGTGCCGAAGTAAGAAAATTGCCTCAATGGTTGACATCCTTGGTATAAATCTGAACTGATTTTTTAATACACTCATTTCATATCTTAGTCATTGCTCAATCACTTTCTCCAACAACTTTATATTGCGACACATAAGTCTAATCCCTCAATAATTTGTACAACTTTGTATGTCCCATTTGTTCTTGAAAATCCGTACCATAAAACTTTTCCTCCATTCATCTCCCATTTTCTTTGTTCTTAAAATCTTGTTGAACAACTTGTTAATCAGAATACGCTAATCTCTCTTATGCTTTTCCAAACCTCTATTGGTATACCATCTGGTACTAAAGCCTCTCCTATCTTCATATTTCTCAAAGCTTATTTCAATTTAGATATCCTAATTCTGTGAAAATATCTGACCTCCAACCTCGTTTGTGTCAATAGTTTCTCGCAACATTGGGCTTTAGAGTAGTCGTCATTTAACAATTTTTTAAAATAGATTCAATACCTTTCATTGACCTCATCATCCTTCACCAATACCCTCAGATCCTCACTCTTAATGCATTTAGCATAATCTAGGTCCCTACACTTCCTCTTTCTCATTTCTGTTAGTTTGAAGACATCTTTCTCACCTTCTTTGTTCTCAATTTATTGTATGGACCATCATATCTCTTAAGCTTAGACTCATTATTTTCTTAGCATTCCTCTTGGCATTTCTATATTCTTCGAAATTCAATCACTTCTATTCCCCTGCAAAACTTTGTAACATGATTTTTTTTCTCTAATAGTCTTTTGAAGCTCATCATTCTACCACCAAGTTTCTTTATCTGAAGGTATTTCCCTCTAGATTCTCCTAAAACTTTGTTTGACACTTTCTTAGTACAATTAGTCATCTCATTCCATATAATATGTAATATGGTCCCCCAGTATTCTGCTTTCTATTTTTCATCAATTTATTTATAAATAAGTCTATTTTCTCCCTTTTTACGTTCTACCACCTAGTTCTTGCACACTTACTAATGTTCCTCCTTCTCTTCCATCTCTAAATGCAAACATCCATAACCATGAGTTTGTGTTGCATTGTGAAACTCTCTCTTGGGATAACCATACAGTCTTTACATGATGATCATTGTCTCCTTAACTAGCAAAAAGTCTATATAGCTTTCATATGTGTTGGCATAGGTCTCTTTTCACCATTTTTTTATTTATTTTTCAAATACCTTTTTTAATAACCATAATACCCCTAACCTTGTTATAACATTCCTAACGAATGAGGAAATCCACATTGAATTTCAATCAAAAGCAAATAAGTGAATTACATTGAATTTGTATCCAAATTTACCCACCGTCTTCTCTCTAAAGCGTTGGAGGCGAACCAATTCAAAGGGCTGCTGTGAGAACCAAACTCACTTCCACCGACGACACAATCATAGGCTTAAAGCCTACTCTCTCATGTGCACTTAGGCTTAGTGTATCTGAATAGGTCAAAGGATAAACTTCACAAAAAAAAAAATTAGCTTTATTTTCACTGTTCTGTTGTTTTTCAACTCCATGTTCTTGCTTGTATTCGTTGGCTCGAAAGCCTACGTGTACGCTAGTGCACTATAGTTTTCTTTACAGCTAGCATGCCCAACAAACTACGGTTCGAAAGCAAGAAGCAATGGCTAGCGCAAAAGCTATTGTGCTAACGCGCATCTTCATTGACCGGAGACGATGATGAGCCTTCTTCAGCCCGTCGTAGCAGGGGAAGTCCTACCCAAGTCAAGATAGGATCTGTCTATCTCACCTCGCCCCCTATGTCGATAGAGTAGAGTTACGGAAAAAAGTATCGGCTTGCTAACAGAACGAGTTGGAACCAAAATAGTTACGATTCTAGAAACCAAAACTATTGAACTCCACGCAAGATTCTAGGATTGAAACCAAAATAGTTACGATAATGCATTGGACAAGACTACTATCCTCCCCAAACCATGAGTAGCGAAAGGAATGACAAAGGGAATGTCCATTCCAACAATCGAAACTTTCATGAGGTCAAAATCACTACAGTGAACAGCCTTTAGTTAAAATCATAGCTTGACTTACTTCATACCAGTTCTTAAAGCTCGCTGAGTTCAACTAAGACGATGCCCTTTTACTTAAACCCAGATCCAAATGGAGAAGCCTCAGAACCAGCTGAGTCTCACAGGCTCCCAAGGTTTCTTTGTCATTTTTTTAAAACATTCGCCGAGTCCAAATTGGACTTGGCTCAGTTTCAGGCTCAGCGGCTCGGCCCATCCAGTTCGAATCGCATGTCTGAGTTTGAAAGCACTGATTTATACTATTGCCAATTAATCCAATCTCCAAATGTAGATCCCAAAAGGAATGGCGTTACAGCAAAAGTTGGAATCACTTTTCCATAGAAAAGCAAAACACAGCTTCTTAGATCACTTTAGGCAACCTACTTGAACTTCAGTAATGGAAGACGTATTCGTAATTATTTTGTCTAGAATCAATCATTCAAATGGATCAAAAATTCGGTTACCCTCTAATCTTTTTCTTACAATTAACACTATGGCACTGTTATCACATCTTAATGCACTCACAATCTTTCACATTCGCTCAGTCATCAAAGTAAATTTTATCTCATAATAAATAAATAAAATCCATTTAACAAATGGATAACATGAAATGAAAATATTGAAGAGAAAAGAAACATAATATATAGATAAATGGTCCTGGTAACCATAACCCTGGACTTCTACAAAGCAAGTTGCCTGCTATATACAAATAAACCACCACTCAACCTGTTGCAACATTCTTATATGAAATGCTTAAAAAGGAAAAGCATAATGCAACAAATTAGAAAGCATGTCCAACAAATTAAAAAACTATCAATTACCGACCCAAAGTTTAATTATCCGCTAAGCAAACATCCACTTCATACCTAAAACCTAGAACATCAAGCAAGATAATTGGAAAAACAACATAGAAATCACATTAAAGAAAGAAAAAAAAAAGGAACAACAACAACGAAGACAGAGAAAGCAAAACTGGAAAAAACAAAAAAACAGGCTTCTTTTTGGTAGGTAAGCTGGGTTCAACCTTACAATCTCAAAGGTTGAAACAAGAAGCACCTTCCAGTCAAGATTATGAGCTTGAAAACTTTTTTCAACTAGATATACAAATAAATAAATAAAAGATCCCTCAAAAAGAAAATGAAAAATGCAGAACGGTAATAATGACATATTTAGAGCATTAAATGTAAGCAAGAATTAAAATATCTGGTTTTCCAAAATTGAATAGATATGGACAAGTAAACAACCAAATTTCAAAAGCAGGCCATAAAAACAACACATCAAAGGAATCAACCCCTTGGATTGGTTAAGGGCCTAGGGCTATGGAAATAATGACCAAGGTCCAAAATCCAACTTAGCCAACCTAAAATGGAAAATCAAATTTGAATATGGAAACAACATATTAAAAAGAAATTATTGGTTTCAAAAAAACATATTAAAAAGAAATTATAATCAACGCAATCGAAAATCAAGAATCAAATCCAGAAATGTGAAGTAGAAATACATAAATATAAATATCTAACGTATTTATAGAGTGTAACATCAAATGCATATCTCATTGATGGCTACTTCAAATTCAAATTTGCATAAGAAAATATCATACAGAAAGAGTGCAGGAAAGAAACAACAGACCAGAGAGCCGGAACCCGTAACAAATAAGATCAGTGGACTAAACTAATAATGTCGCCAATTGATAAACCCCAGTAAACAGTTACTTAAACCCCATAAACAACAAAAGAAGAAAATCAAAATAAGTAAATAAATATGTAACAAGTTGCTCAGTTTGGAATTTGCCCTTGACAATTGATATGAAGATATCCATTCAACCATCAGATTTTGGGTTCAAATCCTACAGAATAAAACCCGAGAGAGAGATAGAGAGAAGAGAGAGAGAGAGAGAGAAATTAAAGGAAAAAAAAGATAGTCAGATCCATATCCATTAAACAACCCAAGAGTCAAAAAATATGTACATAAATAATCAGACTCAAACTCGTACTAAAATCCATGTTCATAACCAAAAAATAACACCCAAATGGCTAAAAGAGGAGAAAGCGTGACAATGAAATAGGGATATAACAAAAATTCAAGAGAGGGGGAAACCACAACAAATGCAAGACCCACAGAGAGTGAGAGAGAGAGAGACACACACACCCAAAAGAAAAGAAAAACGTAACCAAACACAATATTAAAGCCTACAGCCATGAATACTACAAACCCATTTCACCCATTCATCCAAAAACCCAGAAATCAAAACAGACAGGAAATCAAGAAGAAACTGCAAGAAGAAAAATTCCTGAAAATGGAAAGATAATGGAGATGGACCTGGCATTGAGATTCTTTGCATTCTCTGCTCCAAGGCCAACAATGGCCGGAGAGTGGGGCCTCCAGCCAACAACCATGAAAAAGGGGATGAGAGAGAAAGAGAGCAAAAGTGCAGAGAGAGAAAGAGAGAGCCCCCCGAAATATATACAGAGAGAGGTGGGAGTGAGCGGGAGGGTGGCTGTTTGAAAGTTGCAAAGAAACGGGGTGGGTGTTTCTTCATTTTATTTCTCTCTCTTCTTTTTTTAATGCCTACTTTCTCTCACGTGAGTTTTGTAATAAAATTTTCCCTCACTAAGATTTCCAGCTTTTACATTTTTTTAGATAGAGAAAATGCTGAGGGGCAAATTTAATAATAGAGCCACGTGGCACTGACAGGTGCTCACTTTATTTGATAAAAATGAATGGAATTTGAATGCGTGTTTGTGGTGCCGTTGTGATGGATGTATGGCACATGGGTGAGGTCCTCCAAAGTTAGAGTGAGAAAGTGTCTTAAAATTCAAATACCAGCCATTGCACTACCTAGAGAGAGAGAGAGAGGGTGGGTAGGGGTGTTGTTGAGAGAGAGAGTACTCTCTCTCTTATGGTCTGTACTAAATTCAAAAAAAATGACGACTTCTAAAGAGAGAAAGGAGGAAAGTGGGTAATAAAAGAACGACTTCTAGAGCGAGAAAGGAGGAAAGAGGGTAATAAAAGGAGAGAAAAAGGAGGAAAGAGGTGAGGTTTAGAGTGAGAAACACTCTCTCTCTAATGGGGATAGGTTCAAAATGGTTGAGGTGTATGGTGTTTAAAATGTTCTTTTATTTGTTATTTGTGTTTCTCGGTCAGATGTCAAATTAGATGGTTTGAACAACGACACAAATTTCAAGATTTTTTTAAATTTTTTTGTCTAGTCAATGGCATATTCACAATCACTTGATTTGAAATTCAATGGAAGTGATTGTGATCTTCTTGTAAAAAAAATGAATGATCTTTTTATATACTTTTTGTTTTGTTATACATATTTTATATTGCCAAAATTTAACATTTTATTTTTCAAAATTATTCTTACTCATAATCGTATGTATATTGATGGGATTATTGAAAAAAGGCAAGATAAAATGTTAAATTGTTTATCTCCTAAGCATATTTTATTAATTTTTTAAATTATATATATATATATATATATATATGAGGTCGCGTGGATTAAATTTGAACCAGTAAAATCCAGGATGTATCCAAATTTAGATCTATCAAGGGAAGTATGCAAATTAGATGGACTTGGACTTGACCTGGATTCGAGACCTGGATCCAAACCCAAACCTTGATCCAGTGGACCCACCACATAGGCAAGTTGACCCAACTCATTTGCACGATTGTGTGACGTGGGTGCCATTTAAAGAGGGAGAGGAGGTCTATTTCTGTTATGGCTTCTCTCTTGAGCTATCTCTATGGGTGTTCCCCAAGGTTAGTGGTGGAGTTTCGCCACAGTTTGGGTAAATATAAGGGCCTGTTTGTTTTGTGGACTTCCATAAGGTTGGTGCTCGAACTTCACGACAATTTGTGAAAATACTAGGGTGTGTTTGTTTCGTGGACTTTCCTCTAAAGTTTGGAAGCCGCAGCATCCTTAGGTTATCATGGAATTGTTATCCTCCATGGAAAACATCAATTGATGTTGTATTTTAGCGATGTTGGAAGCAGCGACTTCCAAATAAATATTCCACTCCTGAATGATAAATGGAGGAGTTCTACAGTTTGGGGAAGATGAATTGACCAACAAACTTGCCCCAAGTGTTTATTTCCTTGGATCTCTGCCTTTGTCTTGTTATACTGTCTTTAGAGGGCTCTCTCCCATCTTGTCTCATTCTCTATACTGGGGTCTATTTTTATTGCTTATAAGATAGTAGCTAATTAACAAAAGGGATTGTTTATAAATAGATCATTTATCGTTTGTACATGAAAGTCACAAGCATTCTTACTCAATAGGTTTAAAATTGGATGGCTTGGGGTGAGTCTTAAAGTCCAAGAACTTTTTTTTTTTTTAGAACTTTATGTCTATTCCATGACATTTTTACACCCCCCATTTTGAAATTTAAAGGACAAAAATGATTATAACATTCATATATCAAAAATAAATGGTCTATTTGTGGACAATCCTTTAAAAAAATTATCTAACTTCCTCTTAATCATTTCGTCGTCTTTCTACCAAATTACCAAACAGCCATAAAAAAATCTACAGGCCTGATCTGGGACTCACCCAAATCAAATCAAGAGCCATTGAAGTATTTTCCAGATGCGGCACCCACCATTCTTACCACCTCTACTTAATGCCATGCACCTCTAATAAAAACAAAAAGATGTCAAAACTCACCTTTTTTCTTTGCTTTTCGTTTTAATTTATTTTTAAAAGTTCAATGGCTTGACTTTTAACTCACCGGAGTTGGACTACAGAACTCACGATCAGGACGACTAAAGGTCCCTACCAAAGTCCATTTCTCTAATTCCCTTATCCTACAATGAATCTCTCTCTCTATCTATCTCTCTCTCTATATATATATATATATATAGAAAAATATGTTGTATTATAAGTTTTACAATATCAGCTCTTTATCTATATTGCAAAAATTTACGAATGAGACTCGTTATCTTATGAACCAAGATTTTTGGGGCAGCTATAACTTTCTTTCTCTCTCTATCTCTTCAAGAAATATGTATTGAGCAATGATAAAATGCAACGGTTGTATCATAGTATAATATAACGACATTTTTAAAAAATCATGTTTGTGGTATTTGTATGACCCCAAATTTTGCACAAACACTCTCTTCATCTCAATAACCAATCCTCTCAAAAAGAAAAAGTTTAATTTGAACCGTAGATTTGATCAAAATGAGTCCCATCCAAAAACGAATCTAGACCATTCATTTTGAGAATTTCAATATCTTAGCCTTTATACACTTAAAATCATTTAGTTATTTTTTTAACATTGTTCATGTATTAATAATAAAGCCATTTAAAAAATTTTGAAATGAAAAAACCTTT